ACCGTGGAGTTGACCTTCCACTTCTAAATTGAGTAATCATTGTATGCTTGTACACCTTCGTTCACCATAATTGATTATTCCCATGCGCTATAAATGAGCCTGGACGTTTTAAGTCGGCGACTGAGAAAATTAAACGAAATGTTGACATCTCGCGAAAATTGTCTTCTTTCTGTTTTGATGAAATGGATAAAGGGAACTCAGTGCTTCATGTTTTTAAAATAGTTAGTTATGGCAATAATCAAACGGTTTGATTTTAGCGCAAAATTTGATGTGTCGTCAGTTCCTCGTACAAAATATCCTGCTCAACCGATCTTATTTTATTTCATTTTGATGAGTTCTGCGTGAGTGTGCAGTGTCTAATAACTATGGACACTTTATTAATGATAATAATATTATAATTTCATGTTTATATTCTCATCCTTTAGACATAAACCAGATTAACGAATTCAAAAATCATGCATGTGCTCGTCTACATCCCCGAAAAACAGACACGAAATCTCTTGTTTATGTGTGGATATACATGTAATGATTTTTTTCTTCCGTTCTTGTTGACTGTCGCTCGTTTACGATCGATGAATCTGGGTGGATTGTGAACAGCGTTAGGGAACAAACCAATTACACATCACGTTATGCCCCATACTCCCGCCACCCCCCGCTCTTAAGTCCCCGTGCTGGTGTAGCCATTCGTGCAAATCGTCCACTGCTTCTTACGCATTGGAACACGGTTCGTAAAAGCACTCGTGCTTGCATGCACCGTGAGGTTAGACCCCCCCCTCCCCGGGTGAAAACTGACCAAAAACTGTTTCACCCACCCACCAACCAACCAACCAACCAAAAGCTCACTGTCTACACACATCGATTGTGGTGCACTGTTTTGAACTATTCACCCTGACAGCCAGCTTTTTCCGGGCTAAACCACCGCTAAAACACTTAGACGTGGCTCGAACATGATCGAACCGTTCGGAAGAACAGGATGCCTGTTTCGATGCCTGAAGACGGGGAGCGAACGGTGCATTTGTGGTCTGCAAGCGACAGAAGGCGATTTTGGCGGTTTGGGACACAGAGACAGCGTGACTACGCTGATTGATTAACAGTTTTAACGGTCTTAGCTGATTCTGTCACTGACGAAGACAAACTTTGCACGGTCTGTTCGTATTTTAGCTTCGAAAAGACTAATTTAAAACAGATGTAACCGTGGTCAATAGGGAAATGTGTTAGTATGCAGACATCGATAGAAACCCATCACTCAGTTTATACGGGTTCATTAGGCTGCATATAATGCGGTTGGGGAAGCCTAATTAGGTTGATTCTGAGACCTGGATCGCCTAGACCACAAGAAATATTGGCCGTTTACTCAATCGACCAGTAAATCAATCAGTCAATCAACTAATCAGTCAGTCAGGCAGATACAGTGAGAAGAAAGACGAACACCGAATGAAGCATATTCTATGCAGTTTTAATTCACCACTTTGTTGTCAGAATAAAATGAGGGAAGATTCGAAAATACTGTTATCGCATACTTGATCGGGCGTGTGTGTGTGTGTATGCATAGCAATTCGTATGCGAAATCAACGAATAAAAGAATTTTACAAACGTTCTCCTCCATATGGCTTACTTTCAAGTAACTTTTTAAGGTTTAGAAAACAACGATTTGTTCACACAGATGAAGTGCACATGTTCATTACATTCAGAGCCACCCTCCGTTGGAATGTCCTGTGTAGCGGCTCCGCGGCAACTCTTTAACTGGACTGCTCGCCGACTAAGCAAGCCAATCTCCGAAGTCTCCTCGCACGAGCTGTGGGAACTCTTCACTCGTTTGAAAAACCGTCTTATTTTGATGTAATGCTTTATTTTTCACTTCGATTCATTGACACTCTCGTTTGGATGAACAACGCATGTGTCCGAAACAAAGCTAACCCCGTCGGGGATCAGTTCCGAAATGGTCCGGGGATGGAGTGATGCACATTGATCTATTCCACGATTATATGTTTCTCTTTTCACCCACCTACCGAACCAACATAGTGCGCCGGAGCGTTTCACTGGTGGGTGGGCTGGGGGTATCACCCAAGATGGGTAGGAACACAGCCAGCATCAAGCGTAGGCACTCCGTTTTGGGAAACCTGTGGACTTTTCTACAGGATAATCCGCGCATTGCTTAGGGATGAAAATCCAACTGCAGAATCCATCCGGACATAATACCCACACATTATGCCCGGACACGTTTTGTACGCCTTGACTCACTCGTGCGTGTCCAATTTCCGTCTCATTTGCAGTTGTGCGTAAAATGTGGTACAATTTGCCTACTGATGAAGCCCGTAAAATTCGCGTCAGTTTTCCACACTTTCGGTTTTCCAAAATTCTTACATAATTTGTGTACCAGATTTGTTTTTCTTAGGATCAATAACAATAATCATCCAACAGACATGGGTAAGTGAATGAATAACGTGTGACCCCCCCCCCATTGATCCACGGCACAGAGATGCATTTTTAAATCAATCGATCCACCTGCACGGTAACCAATTTCAAGGTCATGTTGTTGTGAAAGGTCCACTGGAAACTATTCCTAGTTAGTGTATAAGTTTTGGTGAGCCTGAGAGTTGAATCGAACAACTGAGCGATAGAATAAGTGAAGCATTATTCTATTTTGTCAACAAACCAATCGATGTGAATGTATTCTGATAGTTGTACACGGTTAAGGGCGAGTCGATGAACATTGTAGTCCATTCAGTGTTTAAACCCCAGCGCTTTCATCGATTTGATTCTATACAAACAAGGGGCACCCGTCAGGCAATTGATCAAACTCGTGCAACGGCACCCTGACTTTCGTCACATTTGGACCCTCAAACGCTTAGTTTTTCCAGCCTCATTCACGAGGGATTGAAGATGATAGTGCCCCACATCAGACGCAACATATTCGTAATACTGTCCACCTAGGTCTTTGCTTCTGTTAGTTGAATGCCATGAGAATGTACGATTTCTCGATTTTGACGATGGTTGCCGGTGAATCAGTTGTAAAATAAAACAGCCATAGTAAAAACATACCTAGAATTTATTTATCGAAATGACCGATAGACTTGATACAATTATTGTACTTTCATCTCATCCATGTTCTNNNGTTCTATTAGCCCTTCTTCACTTGTGGGCACTGGAGACAGTCGTTTTTACACGCAGTCCACCAAGTTGACTGTCAGACAACAGTTGCCTGTTTCCTCTACTACATGCCGCACTCTAACCACCGACGACCATTCTGGAGAGAGCTAACTTATCCCTTCTTCTAACATGGAAAAGGTTTTGATTACATTCAAATCCCAACTGCTAGGCTACAATTAAATGAATTCGGCCTTGTAGTTGGTTCTTAGATTATATTTCCAGTTCTTTTAGTATTGGGTGATAATAAGTACGTAGTTGGTAGCCAAATAATTTATCGATTTATCCACGCCAGAATATTTTCATTAATTGGCTTGTTCAATATACACTGAATCAAAAGAGATAAGCAAATTACGATACGTTTGTTGAGCTTTATAATCACTCTGATGAAACAGGGATCATTCGTTAGAAAAAATGAATTCCCATGATGCTTTGCATAAAATATTTTCCAAATCTGAGCTGTAACTTCCAAACTACTACAAATCTCATCGCGACACTCAAAGTTACGCGAATTCAGATGATGATAGAAAAAAACTAAAAACAGACGAGATAAAGTCAGGAATAAATGCACTTTACCCATGGCCATCAATATATAAGAATGATATTGCAAACTGAAATGGATTTCCAAAATGAGGATGATTTTGCACAAGTTTGGTCAACACTTGTAGTTAAGTTGACCACATGAAGGAAAAGCCGGATCATGTGATGTGCTGAGGTCAGATGTGACGGCACAAACGTATCAGTAATTGAATTCCAGACCGCTCGAGGATAAATGTAGAATGACGGTGTAGACGACGATTATTGATAATTCGCACCCTTCATTGGATAGGAAATATGTATATAAAAAGTATTCCACTTCAAAAACGGTGTTCTCGCATTGGTTTAGTCGCTGTCACCGCCGTACTTTGGACCCGATGGTTCAAGGTTCGAGCCCCGCCATCGCCACCATGTGACAATGATGGTAGAAAGCTTTGCTATATCGTCCAGTTCAATACCACACCTAACCTATCGAGGCCTTATGTAGTTCACCACTCCAAGTGCCGGGGCTCAGGTTACCGGTTTTTAATACTGAGCAGCAGGTCCTCGTGACTATGGGATCCACCCCGTCTGCTGTCTATCACACACAGAGCGGTGTGTAACAAAAAGAGGTCCGTCAGAAAGGTGGAGCTAGAGGGCGAAAAACAGATTAATAATGTCAGTTTGCAGGGAACCAAGCACTGAAGAATACACAAGCGCACAAACGCACACTCAAAGTGTACATTTTTGCCTTAACTAAACAACCTGATAGCTTCACCTCGCCTACAAACACCCGCCCACCCAGATATACCGAAATTAAAAAAACACGGTCCACTTACCTTGATAATTTCGATCATTTCTTGTTTCTCTATTGTTCCATTTCCGTTGATATCATACATTTGAAACGCCCATTCGAGTTTTTCTTCCGGTTTACCTCCGGACGTAATATTGATCGCGAGGAGAAATTCTTTGAAATCGATTTTACCCGAATTGTCCTTA